TGGAGACCAAGTCTTCAAATATAGGAGCCTACTGGAGACATTTCTCACTCAAACTACTACAGTAGAGTTGGCATCTCCCACATGTAACCACGAGTTAGCATTGATATTCTGAATGTCAAGTCTTTCGTAGGATGTGAATAAGTGATAATACTGTAGAAAGTTTCTTCATAATTTATTCACATTTAACACAACCATTTTGCTAGCTAAGCTCATTTCAGTGCTTCTGTGGCTTCTGGTAGCTGGGTCAGATTGAAAATATCAGCCAAGGTGATTCCAATGTCCCTCTTAGTAAGGGTATTTAATATATTCTTATACATTTGTCAGTGTGTGTTCATAGTCAGTGAACTGGTTCCCAGGGTATCTCAATGTTAATTGCTAATGCTGAGGTGTGACATTGGTAATAACAGAGGTCTGGCCATGAGTTTAAAATGTTCAAACAAGTCTAATAAGACAGCCTTTCCATTAGCCTATACCTAACTCATTAGAACACCTGTGGTCACATAGATTTCTGCATATTAGAACCAGTTACAGGCCCCTTTAGCAAGCTGTAAATGGAAAATGGAAATGTTACATGCCTTCCAATGTGATATAGAAAACACAGGTAATATAAGATGTGTGCATATTTGGCATGGTACTGCTTTGAAATATTTTTTAAAAGGAGGCAAGTTACTGGGTGGTTTGGAGTCAGACTGTGCTTGGGACAAATCGCAGATGGGTCTGAGAGCAATTTCATCCTAACTCCTGCCATGAATGCAGATGCCTGCAGCAAGCGATGGCAGTGTGCACTGAAGTTTCCTGCAAACTCCACATCTGTGTTAAAGCTTCTGCAGACGGATGAGCAATTAGGATGTCTAGTTGTGGAGAGCTGGAACGCTGTATCAGAGCCAATATTATCTTGGGTCATCACTAGCATCCTTAATTGCTACTTACCACCCATCTCCGTATCTGGCCTAACCTCCATCTCTTTGACTATCAGCTGAAATCTTTGGCATGCTTAACTCGGCTATAACTAGCTTCCAACAATTCAAAGCTAAGGATATTTATTATCAGATACCATCTGAAACCCATCACAGGGACTTCCCTGCTGTACTGTAACCTGCCTGCTTGATGTCCCCACCAATGTTCCCACCTTGCTTTATGGCTGTGATTTGTTATGTGACTATAAGAATTTGTATAACTGCTTCCACAGTGGACGTCCCCATCCAGGGCATCCTGAGTTCATGGGGCATTGTCACAAACAGTTCGCTCAGAATAAAGTATCTCTTGTTCCCTCTGGCAGAAGAGCTTCAGTTTGCCTTAACACGGCACCACCAAAAGATATCAGATGCTGTTATAATTACAAGCATATCAATTAAGACTCGGTGGAATCCTTTCTCCCTGACTAAAACCCGACTAGCATGTTCCCACCACACTAGCTACTACTTATTTCTGAACAGTTTGCCCTCCAGTTTCCTCTGCTACATCCTAAATGTTCCTAGGATCCCCAGGCACCTCTATTCCTGAGGAGAGAATCCTTTGTGATTCAATGGCAGTGGGTGGTGAAATGTGCAGTTGTTAAAAATGTCGCGGTGTGTGTTCATTCAAGCCAATGAATGAACGCTTTTGCAGAATGGAGAGTTTCCTGGGAGAACTCAGCCAAGCCGCCTGTAGCACAGCTTCCCTGTAACAGTCCTGCCCCTTGGGCCATTATCCCCAGCAGCAGGAAAGTCAGTTGATCTCTTGGACTTCATAACCCAAGCATCGGTGAAATCTGAATTCCTCTAATGCTACATTAGAATCTGAAAGGCATGTGATGCAAAAATCTTTGCTCTGATGGTAAAATGTTAGTTGAGGGCTAGGGAGAAGGCTCAGAGGGCAAAAGTGTCCTTGCTGGGCAAGTATGAGAACTTGAGATCAAAACTCCAGGACCCACATAAAAAGCTAGGGGTGGTCATGCACACCCTGGAGGGTCTCACTGGCGTCCAGCCTGCCTCCAAACCGAGAGTCAGACCGTGTTCCAGGGAAGAAGGCTGAGGGCAATAGAGCAGGACACACAATGTTGTCTTCTGGCCCCTATACCTAGGCACCAAAATGCACACCTTCACACACATACACACACACACACACTTCCATACACCATACACACTCACTCTCACACACAGGGAAATACATACACACACACACACACACACACACACACACACACACACACACACATATATATATATATATTAGTTAAGAGGGGTCTCTACTGTGTGTCTGGTGTGATGCCAGCTGTAATAGTTATTTTCCTCATGGCTGTGACGAAACCCCTGACCAAAGCAACTGAAGGAAGGTAGGGTTTGTCTTGGCTCACAGTTTGAGGAGATACGTTCCATTGTAGTGAGACAGTCATGGCAGCAAGTAGCTGAAAACAAAGGGTCCCACTGCTTCTGCAGTCAGGAAGTGGAGTACAAGCAGAAAGCAGAGCCAGGCTAAAAACCCACCAGCTCCACCTCCTGTGCTCACTTCCTCTAGCACAGATCCACGCACTAGGTCCATGACCTTCTAAAATAGCATGTTCAGACCAAGAGTCCAAACACACAAGCCTATGGGGGCCGTTTCATCCAAGTCGCAGCGCTGATGGTGCAGAAGATGTCTAAATCTACAGTTCTAGCCCAGCCAGTCATTTGCTTGCATTACAGGGCTCCATTTTCTAGGCGCAGCCTTGGCAGCGCATCCGATTAGCTTCTGAGAGGGTGGTTTCATGGGAAATATGATTTAGTCTTTACTTCAACAACCCTGAAGATCAATCTCTCTCAACAACGCTCCCCAAAGCCATGCTCGTAATCTGCCATTATGCTGTAGGACTTGGGAAGAAGGTAAATGTCCTGTCAGCCACAATCTCTCTTTATTGTTTTTAAGAAGGGATGGTTCCCATTACCAGAAGCAGATAAGGGACACTAACACCCATTTGTCATTCAAAACCGACAGCTCACTTCCGCAGAGCGAATCATACTCATCCTGTAGTGAGCTTGGTTTGTTGTTGCTGTTTTAATGGGGTCATAGAGCCACAATGCAAGGGCAGGGGAAATTCAAATGGGGATAGGGTTGGGAGACAATTTCCCAGCAGTAACTTTGGCTTTCTAATACGTCCTTTTGCCTTAAATAGATTCTCACCTCAAATGATAATTGCTGTGTACATCACCATTCTAGAGGTTTTTAGCTCCACTCTCAGGCAGACATCCCTTACCCAGGTTTTCGTACAAATAACTCATCTCTCAAGACATAGACAGGTCTGCATGTGATAGAAATATGTCATTTCATCAAACAGCAACTGAGGCTTAGTAGTTAAAAGTGTATACTGCAATGTGTAGAATCAGAGTTTGGTTCCCAGCTCCCATTACCAGGGGGCTCACGACTGCCTGTAACTCCAGCTCCCGGGAATCCAACATCCTTGCCTAACCTCTGTGGGCACTCGCAAACATGTGGTATATACATACACAAATAAAAAAATAAAATAAATATGTAAGAACTAAAATAAATAAGTGGCGGCCCTAGGCTGCAGACCGGCAGCAGCCGCCCATCCAGGCCTTGCTCTTCTCCCTTGATGGAGGAAGGTCATTGGTTAAGTAATAAAGAAACTGTTTGGCCTCATAGGTTAAAACATAGGTGGGAGGAGTAAACAGAACAGAATGCTGGAAGGAAGAGGAAGCGAGCTCAGACGCCATGCTCCCCTCTCCCGGGCAGACACGATGCAGCCAGCTGCCAGGTCAGACATGCTGAATCTTTCCAGGTAAGACTCGTGCTACACAGATTACTAAATATGGGTTAGGCAAGGTTGTGAGAATTAGCCATTAAGAGGCTAGAACTAATGGGCCAAGCAGTGTTTAAAATCATACAATTTGTGTGTTGTTATTTTGGGTAAAGCGAGCCGGTGGCGGGAGCTGGGTGGCGGAATGCAACCTGCAGCTCCTACTACACTCCCTGATGTCTACGGTTGGAAATGCTAAGGCTATCATTCACCATTCAGTTTCCAAACAAACAGATGGGGAGGCACACCCACCTCGGGTAACCCTAGACTCTTCAATATCAAACGTCACACAACTTCTTCACCCAAACCGTTGGTCCTGAAGTTTTCCTCATCCCTATACAGTATCACCGTCCATTTCTGAGATGGAGCCACATGAGAAGTGTGTGGTCTGAATGGTTAGATATTGACTGCTTTACCTGAATCAACCAAAACCTGGCCGAAAGCCTTTGTACTTGCCTGGCCCCCCATTTCATCTCCAATAGGGGCTGGAAATCCATTTGTCAAATCACAAATGGATTTGTCCTCATTAAACACAAATGTTTGTCCCCATTAAAACGCAAACGGGGCCATCCAGTTTCCATACTAGATTGTGCAATGGCTTCCCGCCACCTTTAAACAGAGAGTAGACATCTCATGGGGCTCTCAGAGCTTCTATTTCCAGCCCCTGCAGATACCACAGGCCCTATCTCCCCCTCTGTTCTAGTCCATGGACCTTTATTTTGGGATACACACCTCTTCCCAGATCAGGGCCTCTGTACACACTAGTCTCTTGCCTAGATATCTCTCTCTTTCTCTCTCTCTCTCTCTCTCTCTCTCTCTCTCTCTCTCTCTTTCTCTCAGGACTCCCAAACTTTTGTCACCCAGTAACCTCACTTCATTTGTGTCTAGCCACAAATGGTCTCTAAGATCTCTTCCAGGACACAGTGGGATTGTACATAACATATATCCATGGCACTTTTTCTCTGCTTCAGTTCTGGTGAAGCCACAGACACAAAGTCCCTTGTCTAAGGTATGCTTTGGTTGCTCTCAGACCCAAAATCTTGAGGAAAGAGCCTTCAAGAGCCTTCTAGATCCTCTGTCTGCATGCAGCAGGCTGAGAACATCAATGCCAGAACTGAGGGGGGCACTTTCATTGCCCGCAGTAAGGGTCTCTACCACACCTTGGCTAATTTTACGATTTTCAAGGGGGAGTCTCCCCCAAGCAGCATCTTGATAACAGGGTTCCTACCGGAAGGAAGAGCCTCTGGGCGGCACAGGGTTTGAATAATTTCTTCCATTCTTGGGGGTTTCCAACGGAAAAGGTGATGGGGTAGATTCTGTGCTCAAACTTCTTTGTATATGAGTCGGGCCACTGACGCAACTGCAAAACATGGAGACACAGAAGGGTTAGGATTAGACACCGAGATGCACGGAGGACACCTGAGAGGCCTCTGGAGGGCACAGTGGAAATTATCCAGGCAACTCACACAGCGAGATTAGCTTCATCACTGCTCCTACAGGTCACCAAGTGAAGAGACATTTTCCTATAACACTGCTGGAATGAAAACAAACCACATCTGCTGAAGGCAGGGGAGTTGGGAGTCTGGTCCACAAACACTGCCCAAGGGAATGGATGACATGCCAAGAGGGCAGTTCAGAACACTTCAGAAGCTGGTTAACAGGAAGAGAGAACAAGGGCTTTCGTCACATTGGAGTTGTGGTAACAAAATCTGGAGAGACTCTAAATGTCAATTCATAAAGAGCTGGGAAAACAAAAATGATGATAGATATTCCATATATGGAATATGCAGAATAAAGAACTGTGTGTTTCTGTGTGATGCATACAAAAGCTATTATATGGTCCAGTGCAGGGTGCATGCCTGTAATCCCAGAATTAAAGAGGTTGAGGTAAGAGTGTGAACACAAATTTGAGGCTAGCCTGGGCTATGTGAGATCCTGTCTCAAAAAATTCTAATATGGCTCCATCAAATAGCAAAAATATACACATCTTTATTTCAAGGTTTACTTTTACATGAATGAGGGTTTTGCATGCAGGTATGTGTGTGTGTGTACTGTATGTGTACTGTGTGGTGTGCCTATTGCCTGCAGAGGCCAGAAGAGAGTGTTGGATACCTGGAACTAGAGCTACCATTGTGAGCCACCCGATATGGGTGCTGGAAACTGAACCTGAATCCTCTGCAAAAGCAGAAAGCGTCTTTAACTACTGGGCCATCTCTCCAGCCCCTAAGCACATGTGTTTTATATGTGGAGAAAAAAATCTAGACAGATAGCATCCTCTTATTAAAAGCACCACCTTTACAGGTGGTGCTTATGGATCTCATTTTCTGTTGATATTTCTATATTCTTCAGAACTTTTGTAGTGAATATGTTTTTTCTTTGTATATGTTAATGTTTTTAAAATTTATTCAATTTTAATCCAAGTACTTGGGAGGCAGAGGCAGGTGGATCTCTGTGAGTTCGAGGCCAGCCTGGTCTACAAGAGCTAGTTCCAGGACAGAGAAACCCTGTCTCGAAAAAGCAACAAAAAAAATTTATTCATTTAATGTGTGTCTCAGTGTTCTATTGCTGTGAAGAGACACCTCTTACAAAGGAAAACTTTTAATTGGGGCTGGCACACAGTTTCAGAGATTTAGTCCATTATCTTCAAACAGTGCACAGGCAGACATGGTGCTGGAGAAGGAGCTGAGAGTCCTGCATCTTGATCTGCAGGCAGTAGAAGCAACTGTCACACACTGGGCATAGCATGAGCATATATGAGACCTCAGAGCCCACCTCTACAGTGCCACACGTTCTTCAACAAGGCCACACCCACTCCAACAAAGCCACACTTCCCATGGGGGCCATTTTCTTTTAAACCACCACAATGTGTATGCAAGTTTTTCCCGCACCATCATATATGTATACACACCAGATGCACAGCTGGTATCTGCAGAAGACAGAAGAGGGCATCGTTCCCCTGTGTGATGATTTAGATAAAACAGCACAGTTCCCCGAGGGGCGCAGTGTGCCACGAGGGGCAGCAGGGTCCCACCACCCGAGGCCTCTGTGGGTCCCAGGTGGGTGGGAGGAGGCGGGTGAGAGACCCTGGGGGGTCAGTGGCTGGGCAGCCGGTCCCACGAGGAGCCATGGTGGGTGAGAGACAGAGATGGATAGGCATGCCATACCGAGTGAGTTTGGATATAGTTTATTCAGTAAAAGGGAAGGAAAGGGAACGGGGAGAGAGAGGAGGGGGGAGAGGAAAAGAGGCCTCAGTCACCTCTTCTGAAGAGAGATGGGGCAGCAAGAGCAGAGGTTGGAAGATGAAGGAAGATCAGCTTGTTGCTTGTTTAGGCAGAAGGGGAGTGGGCGGGGCTTGTCTCTTAAAGGGACAGGACAGACCATTACATTCCCATCTATTTATTTATTTATTTATTTATTTATTTATTATGTATACAATATTCTGTCTGCGTGTATGCCTGCAGGCCAGAAGAGGGCACCAGATCTCATTACAGATGGTTGTGAGCCACCATGTGGTTGCTGGGAATTGAACTCAGGACCTTTGGAAGAGCAGGCAATGCTCTTAACCTCTGAGCCATCTCTCCAGCCCCCCATCTCTTTTTTATAATAAAAAGGCAGGAGGTTAGGCACAACAGGTTAAAGGAATTGGAATGGCAGATTCTCAAAACTGCTTCCTGCTTATTTCTGAGTGTTGTCTTGGGGGGGGGACCTGAGAAAGCTGGGTGGTGGTCACATCCTGGGGTAGCTGGTCTCTTTGCTCCCATCTGGTGTTTGTGTTATGGAAATGTACAGTGTCTCTTAGACCTGTTTAAGGTATTGGCAAACATAGGACAAAGTTAAGTTTAGGGAAAAATTTTTTTAGGACCAGGGAATTGAGAGGGGTGTATCAGACCTGTTTAAAGTGGATCCTTCAACTTGGCTCCCTGAAACTCACAAGAATTTTTTGGGGTTGTGAAAACATAAGTTTTAAACAGCAGCATATTTATATCAGAATGACTGTGACAGATATTTTTGCATAATGAAAAGTATCTTTAAGACTATTAAAGGCAGCGTGAGAGAAAATTTTGTTAACTTGTAGGTTATTGAAATTTGTTTGGTGAGGCAGTCCTTTAAATGACAAAACCTCTCAGCTGTCAAACTACATCAGAGATCTTGAGAAGGATAAAATTTTACTTGAGTTATTGATTAAAAAATGACAGAGAACTTACTTAGTTGGCACCTATACCTAATTTTCAGGGTTCTCCACAGTTGCTGAGGGTCGTATTTGCCTTTTGCTCTTTAGTGCAGGGCCTGCTAGACTCCAGAAGATCCTCTGGGCTAAGAAATCTGTAGGAAGACAAGCCTACCTTGACCTGAGCAGTTAGACTGTCGATTCCAGCAATTCTGTCCATCACCCGGAGATCTTTTTTTTTTTTTGGTTTTTCGAGACAGGGTTTCTCTGTGGTTTTGGAGCCTGTCCTGGAACTAGCTCTTGTAGACCAGGCTGGTCTCGAACTCACAGAGATCCGCCTGCCTCTGCCTCCCAAGTGCTAGGATTAAAGGCGTGCGCCACCACCGCCCGACCCGGAGATCTTTAGTTTAGGCGAAAGGCACTTTTGCCCAGTGGTCAGCACTTGACAGTTGAAATGAATTGCGAATAGATGTTGTTTTATGACCATCTGTCTTCTGTCTTCTTTGGAGGAAGTAGAGTGCTGCTGCTAGGAGCCAACCTGTCTCTTTTTGTTATAAAAAGTCTTTTAATAATTAAGCATTTAAATGCTATATTCCTAGATTTCTGAGCAGCTGAGGGCTGTTTATGGAGTATAGATGAGCTATAACTACAGTATAGAATCTGATTGGAGAGCTGGGTCCAAGCTTGACTGTACTGGCTCTTAACTTAACAGGTAAGATTTACACTTGTAAAAAGACAGAAAGAAGAAAAAACTGTAATAGAAGCTTATTCGTAGAACTGAAAATAGTAGAGAACAGTTTAATATATTTTAAAGTAGGGTTGGATTATATATGCAGTAATGTATATTGTAAGCAACTTAAAACTACATACCAATTTAAAACATGAGACTTATTGGTTTATTAGTCTGGAATGTTATGTAATTGGCAGACGATTATAACAGTTAACAGTAAACACACACACACATACACAGTAAACAGGAATTGGGCGAAGTGGATGTTCTTGGTAGGTCCTACCAAAGGCATAACACTGTGCAAAACATACATGTAACAGAGTAAGCAAGAGGAATTTAGACACAAAAATGTAAGTAAATCAGGGGACCAGGCAGGGTATAACTCAGTAAAAATGGCAGGACTCAGTCACCTGACCTGGCCATCAATTAAGATGGCAGTAAGGTCACCTGACCTCAGTTAAGATGGTAGTAAGGTCACCTGACCTCAGTAAAAATGGTGGTGGTCACGTGTTGTATGGAGAAGCCACATTTTTTTGAGCCATGGGAGTTTTAAATATAATAACAAGAGAGACCTAGATGTGTGATCCACCCCATCACGCAATAAGCCACAGCTGGAAGCAAAGGCTGAACACCAGGCCAGTGGTAGCAGTGGCAGGGATAGAATAGAAGGAATGAGAGCGAGAGGAAAAGGGCATTTTCAGACAGGTGGGGAAGGGGCTGCCCAGTGAAAAAGAAAAAGCGGAGCTGGTGGGACACCAGCAGAGCATTTACAGGTGGGTGGCTGATAGTGTGAGGGTTTCCATAGCTGAAAATGTGAAAACCTGCAAAAACAGCCACACCACAAGGCCTGAAGAAGAACATCTTTTCTCTATAGACGGTGTTAATTAAGCTGACTGGCCCCCATCCAAGATACTCAGAAGCCAGATAGGACAGAGGCCTCTCTGAGCAGTCTCTCACAGTGGGGATCACTTATGAGTTGTCCAGAAAAAGAAAAAAAGAAAAGTGAAAGAAAAATCCGAGGGACCCCAGGTCCCAAAGTGTGGGCAGCACCCAGCTTTCTCAGGCTCCCCCCAAGACGATGCCCACAAATAAACAGAAAGCAGACTTGAGAATCTGCCATCCTAATTCCTTTAGCCTGTTGTCCCTAACCTCCTGCCTTTTTATTATGAGATTGGAATGTAATGGTCTGTCCTATCACTTTAAGAGACAAGCCCCACCCACTTCTGAAGCCCCACTCCCTTTCAGCCAAAACAAGCAGATCTTCCTTCAGCTTCCAACCTGCACTGTCTCTGTCCCATCTCTCTTCAGAAGAGGTGACTGAAGCCCCTTTTCTTCTCCCCCCTCCTCTCTCTCTCTGTTTCTCTCTCTCCCTCCCTCTTTCCTTTCTCCCCCTTCCCTTCCCTTTCCTTTTACTGAATAAACTATATCCAAACTCACTCTGCATGGCATGCCTATCCATCTC